TAATTAAATATTCACTTTACTAAATGGTAAGCAATAATCAGGGAATTAGAATAAGCTGTGCCCTCTGACGACAAATTGTGACGTCAGAATGCCGTAAATGGGTGTAAGAAATTTCGTTTAAACAGTAATTCGTCAATTAGAATAAAAGAAATCAATAAAAAACAACTATTTTTGGCGACATCCACTTACGTTACAGAAGCACTAAGTCGCTAGATGGCGTAACATATTGAGATACAGTATTAAACACATTTATTGCACAGAGCGAACGAACTGATAGGAAATGCTTAGTGCAAACACAGACCCTCCTCTGTTGAGGATCTGTAGTGCAAAGTATGTCCCGTATGTCCTGCAAAGCAGTCGCTCCTCGTTGGCGATACCTCGCACCCCTATGCATGGAATGATGTGATCCACCGGATAAAGTCGTGAGACAATCATCATGTTTTTTAATAATTTAGAAATGGGCAATTAATTCAATAATTATTTCGAAAATAATAAGTTAATTTCCCACTGTTTTAATTTTGTAGGGTAAAAGAGCAATTACTCAGTATTTTAGAGTTGTCATGTATCATCATCGTACCACGGACCATCTAGAACGGCGAGTTAGCAGCCCCACATCTTTACTCCCGGTCAGGCTGCTAGTAATTTTTTTGTTTGAAATCTCAATAGAAAATGTGAAAAATACTATATGTTTATCCTATCATTTCGGCTTAGCTGCGGAAAGAAAAAATAAATAACTGTGGCTTTACCCTGATCCGAGTCGTTGTTTTTCTAATAAGGGCGTCACTAATAACGAATATTAACGACCGTCTATCGTTTTTTTCGCAAGCACACAAATTAAAATACAAGATACCCAGCAAACCACGTGAGGTCACATGGGATCACGTGTTCTTAATTAGCATGATTCTAAAATCCGCGAGTCACGATATAGCGATCTAGAATGAAATTTTAGAACAATAAGCACGTACGTAGTGTTTGGAAAAAAAACCAATAGCCGTCGGTTCTGTCACGATGCACGTCTGATTCTATACAAGCGGCACCGAGTGTTCTATGTAACCATGACAACAGTGACAGTTATTGTCACAAACAAGAACGGATCGACTTTGCTTGCGGTTAAACCAAACAAAGAATCAAATTGTAGGTCTCACACTACAGTTAGAGCTTTAAATAACGAAAGCGACGAGTAAATAAGGCTATTTCACGCTTAGTGAGCCGTGACCTCATGTTGTGAAACTTGTATTTTGTTTGTGTGTGTGAATCAAATAAACAAAGTGGACACAACATGAAACTGAATAGACTACATTGATAATTTCAACATTGTCTCGTGCATTGTTTTTCCGCCATTACAAATTTCTTAATTTAAAATATGTATACTTCTCGTCCTAGTGTCATATAAAATAAAATAAACATTATTGATTGGATACGGGATTTCGCCGATTGATTCATGTTAGAGCTGGATTGTCAAATGATGTTAATCGTGAAAGGACGCCGCCATGGTAAATACATCTAAGCAACAGTGAACTGTAGAGGGCATTGTTTGATTATTTCATTCAAAATGACGATCTCGTCGAGGATATTCTCGGGGGCGGACATCCGGGCATTTTCACCGCTTGGCAACCCTCGCGGTGAAAACAAAGGCCAAAAACTCGCAGAAAACGGTACTTTGGGATGGTTGTTGAGACTCCCCTGAACAGTGTACCAAGATTAGCCCTACGTGTGTAACATATAGAAATTTGGTTGTTCAGGATTACTTCAAAGTTGAGTTTGTGTTGTTTTCTCAAATTTTCACCGGCTCGAACAGCAGCGCGAACAGAGCCCATAGAAATGCATGTACAGTGGCGCGCGTCTTAGCAACGTGGAACGTCTTGTGACGTAACTCCGCTCCCGATGATACTTAGTCACGTGATTCCTACTTTTCATGACGGAGAACTGGAAAAAGCAAATTTCCATTCAAACAAGCTGTTATTTGCCATAACTTTTCAATGTTTTTCGTAAAAAACACTTGTTCAATAGTATAAAACCACTGAAGGTTTTTAAAAACAACAAATTTTATAATATAATTATGAATACCTCCCCAAAATTGTATTCCAATCTCAATATATTTTACACTATTAAAGCGTTACAATGATGTGATATGGGTCCCACGTGATGTATACAACGTCAGATCCATGACGTAATCATATCTCCCAGAACAGGTCCGTTGCCATGCAACTCTCTACGTGCATCTTATACAGCTTTGGTTGTCAGCTGATAGGACCACAAACTATGACTGCAGACTAAAATTGGTTGAAAATTGAGTAAATATATATTGTGTTCCCATTATCACTTGTACTCAAAAACACTCAACATAAACAACAATAGCGAGACTTGGATAGAAGACTTTTTAAAATCGCGCGATTATATGACTTGATATAAATACAAATGTATTCCTGCTACTCGAAGAATCTAAAAATTCTTGTCGAGATCCTACTATGAAGACTTTAAAATACTATAAAATACTACTATCAAAACTTTAAAATAAATTGCGCTTGGCTTTTCGGCCGCGAAATACTGAATATGCAACTTCCAATTCGGCACTTAAATTTATAATCCACCAATTAAAGCTGATCCGCTCGAGCGACTCTCATGTCAAAAAAATCGCAATTCTTTCCAATGTAGTGCTGTGATGGTGTTGTTCGACAACGACTATTTTTTTTTCAAAAATCGGTTTACTATATATAAAGGAATAAAATCTATATATAAATAATATAACTTGAAAACCAACCTAACTTTGACAACGGCATATTAGAATTTACGCTGCCGCTCAGTATATCTCAAATTGTAATATTCTAGTTCCAGAGCTCAATATATTTTACTTCGTGTACGTTCAGAACGCGTTGTTGCTGTTAAATTTCCCTGATTGTTAACCTAATATATGTTTTCATGTACGAGGCATGTAATGTAACATTACTATGCATACTATAATAAAACGTACATATAATTGAAAACTATGTGCGTATTATTTTTTAAATGGCATGTGTTTTAAAATGACGTTTTATTGGAGTAAGTTTAACTTTTTTTAATTTTTAAATAACGTGTTGATTCAAAGAAGATGTGTGTTATTCAAAATGACACCTGTACTAGAAAATAAAATAAATTTGTATTATAAATATTGCGTTCTTTAAGGAATCTTGGGCATATTTTTAAAATATGTGAGTGCCCGGGAGTGTGTTATTTTGGAAAATGGTGTGTGTGTTTTAAAATCAATGGTGTATGCGAACGCTGAATGACAATTTAGTGTGTGTAAAAAAAGACTATAGTCTTTGGTGTAAACAAACGCGTGCATTCAGGCATGTGAGGGCGCTGTTTCCATTGGTGGCCATTTTTTTTTGCAATGAATCGGGGATATTCCTGTAGGTTTCTAAAATGTCAAAAAAGGTAAGTAAGAACGTGTGCAGCACAAACGTCACGGTTTCATTCAATCAACCCTATGCATTTACCGACCCCATGTATAACACAAAAGCTTGACAATCTATTTATCAACATTTCTTCTCCTTAGACGTCTATGTATTGACGTCATAAACCAACCACACGGATAGATCCAATCCACAGCATGAACATTGTTTGTTTGTTTTATTTTTGTATTCTTTGTAACCATGGTCGTTTACCGTGTTTAAGTTGCACAGACACAAAAAACACGACTTCCATCGAACTTCGGGATAATGTGAAGCCCTGCGTAATTGTACACGGTTGTAGAGGACCGACGATATCCTGGTGTTCGGTAAAAGTCGAGATTATCTTTATGTTATAAGCCACTATGGTACAGCCTATCTATCATTGTGGCAGCCAGGTGGA